AAAAAAAAAAAAAAAAGATCTGGAACCAATCAGAATACAACGCTCCAGTCGGCAACGACTAAGACTACCAGAGACTGGCACAGTTGTTAGATCGGTTACTGCTACTACAATGGCATTTCTCACGATTTAAGAGAGTTTTGAAGGTAGTGTTGTAGTCGGCGCTAGGGAGACGGGCATTGCATCTCCGTGGTCGCGATGAAATTTGGATTTTCCCATACGACCGTTTCACGAGTGTACCGTGAATCCCGTAAAACATCAAACCTCCGGCATCGCTGCTGCCGCAAAAAGGTCGTGTAACAACGGGTCTGACGACGACTGAGCAGAATCATTACACGTGGCAGAAGTGTAACCCTTCCATAAATTGATGCAGATTTCAATGTTATGCCATCGTCATCGGCAAGTGTCAGCGTGCGAACTTATTGAACGAGACATCGATATGGGAATTCGGAGCCGAAGGCAAAGCTTTACGCCTCGCCTGATCCCGTTGTCCACTGGACTGTTGATGACTAGAAACACGTTGCCTGGTCTGACGAATCTCGTTTCACTTTGCTTCGAGCGGATGGACGTGTATGAGTATGGCAACAACCTCGTGAATCCATGGACTCTGCATATCAACAGGAACTGTTCAAGCTTGTGAAGACTCTGTGATGGTATGGGACGTGTGCAGTTGGAGTGGTGTGGGAACCCTGATACTTCTAGATACAATTCTGACAGATGACACGTACGTAAGAATCCTGTCTGATCACCTGTAACCATTCAAGTCCATTGTGCATCCCGACGGACTTGGGCAATTCTAGCAGGACTATGTGACAGCTCACACGTCCAGAATTGCTATAGAGTGGCTCCAGGAACACTCTTCTGGATTTAAACACTTCCATTGGCAACCAAAATCCCCAGACATTAACATAATTGAGCATAAGCGGGATGCCTTGCAACGTGCTGCTCAGAAGATATCTCTACCCCCTCGTACTCTAACGAGTTTATGGACAGCCCAGCGGGATTCGTGGTGTCAATTATCTCCAGCACTACTTCAGACTGGGCGAGTCCATGCCACGTCGTGTTGTGGCGTTCTGCATGCTTGCGGGGGCCATACACGATATTAGGCAGGTGTACCAGTTTTTTGGCTCTTCAGTGCACTTTGAACAGTGTTGTGTAGAGTTGTTCGCCTCTCAATAGGAATAATTTCTCTTTCACATAAGAATCGACGACAATAAAGAAATAATATTATTTGTTCTCTCGCAGCGACTTGCTCAGATTCGTGAGGTGCCTCTTTACTTCAAATAAACTTCATTGAAGCGCTATGAAATGCACCTAATTTCTATTCCTCGAAATCCAATTACATCGAACGAGCAGAAACATACAAAACATAACAATTGATAATTGTGAACCATTTTCAGAGATTTTTCAGATTGCGAATTGTACATCCCACTTTTCTCTAAACGACACACTTCTCTCAAAACGCGCGAAGCCAGTTTTCTCAGATTAGGCATTTCACCCTCGAAATTTGGAGGTATTTATTATATTACACTTTCGTTTTAAAAAATCTGTAAAAACGATCTATCATTTACTGTGAATACTTTATGAATTATAATCTGTTGTCCTGTACTGTGATAGTTAAAAGAGAATGTTGGATGTTATACCCGAGATACAAGAAATTTTACATAGTATAATACGCATTTAAACAATCAAGTAAATATGAACATGAACAATGTAACTTCAATTTAACTTCTCCCCATAGTACGTCACAAAGTTTTTAACCATTTTTGACGTAAATAAATAAATACATAATGAGTCATTTCAGGAGGGGAAGAAAGACATCACAGTCTTCTCCTCCATTAGTTGAACAAAAGCTTTATACTAGTTGGCTAAGAAATGCCAGGCGGAGAAATCTAGCGACCGTCTGCTCTGATCGGTAGTTTTTCGTGGTTTCTCCGATCAACACCAGGCGAATAATATTTTTGTTAAATTCAATTATTTACACAAATTTTCCAACATGACAATTCATGTTTCTGAAACCATCTTGTGAATTATTGTTCACGTTCTGGCTTTGTGTAAAGCTGAATTGTATGGTGAATGATATAACAAATGTTCTAAAATTACCCTCATTTGTATTGGATGGATTGTAAGTATCTATTGATTAGAGACAATCCATTTCTAATTAACGATTGCACAAATTTGTGCCAATCATAAAGCACTAATTTGAAATTGACTTTAAATTGTCTTTAATAAATAGATACTTAATTCAATACTTTTAACAGACAGTTATAAATATTTCACAATTTACCCATATTTGTCCGTATATTTTTTAATTTTATTAAACTATATTACCATCCAGTCCACAAACAAAACTGTTTGTGTGTTGGGATAATACCTGCCCCAACTCTGGCGGTCTCTACCTCAGTATTTAAAACAAGTATGCAAAATAATTTACTAAAAATTATGTTTATAAGTAAAATTGACCATTTTGAAACAATCTCGGCCAATCTGATACATACATCCGCGGTAGAATGGGAACCTAAATAAACTTTGTTCAAACATTTATTAATAAACATAGTTAATACACCAATGTTTTCATACCCTGATTATTTCAAAGAAGTTACTTTTTTATAATTGTATTTTTAATTATTATAACTAAATAATTGTATTAAATGCATTAAATTATTTATGTTATACCATCAACAATTTCTTTGTAAAACTTTTAATTTTATTAAGGGTGTTTGAAAACTATTGATTTTACAAACTTATCACTTTAAATAAGAGTACAGTCCATGGAATACAAATTGAAAATAAAGTACCTATATTATTGAATACATTACTTATGCATATAAATTGAAAATAAATTATATGCATCACAGATATAAAGAACTCAACACCTTGGTAATCTGATTGTAAGAGTAAAACCATGCTTAAATATCCAAGCCTTCTCTTGCTCGTATCATACGTTCACGGGCCTTTTTAAAGGCAGTCATAACAGAGTTTACACTATTTACTATTGTTGATGCGCTGAGTCGTTCCAACAGAAATGAATGACGATTTCTATTTTCTGAGTTTTCCAAATTTGATGTGTCTGAACTTATTTCTGATGACTGATGTAGAATATTGAGACGTAAATGTACTATTCCACTGCCAGTAGTCTTTAGCCCTAGTTTGCTCAAGTGCGCACCCTGTAAAAATGTAAATGAGAGAGTTTAGGAAAATAATATTTTAAAACCAAAATGAAGGCTACAACAAAAAGTAGTTATTAATATTATATCAACATATTGCTTTCTATTTTACCAATCTCAATTCCATCAAATTCAATTGGGCTTTTTTAGATTTTACTCCTTATACACCTTTTATTACATACCTGCATCTTAGGATAAGTTTTGTCTTTCATGTGTATATGTATTACAATGCAATTTTTAAATTTTATTGAAAAAGATAAAACATTTTTGTTTTGAATGTAGAATGGAAAAGCTAAAAGACTGATATGTTATACGTCCAATTTCCATTTAAAGAAACTTTCGGTCTGTAGCAGAACAGTTGTGAGTAATTGTTTGCACATTAAATGATCACTAAGTAATTAAAAATTCTGAAAACAAAGAAAATTTATGTACAGCCATTCCTGATTCTAGTGAAGAGAACAAAGAAGAGTAAGAGATGAAATTCATCCATGGGAATCAATGAAACGATAAAAACCAAAGATGTTGTAACAGCTTAGTAGTTTTATGTTTTTGAGTTGTCAATATATTGTTTTGATTTTAAAATGCAACAGCTAAAAGACTTTGGTACGTTAAATATACTATTTTCACTTTAAAAAAATTTTCATTCGCTGCTGAAAAGTTGTGAAAGAGGTGTTTTCCTCTACATAAGCAAATGCTGGTCTACAAAGAAATAACATATGAAACAAAAAGTAACTTGAACCAGATTATTATGAATAAATTATGTTAGAAGAAAGTGCCATGATGAACAGGAGGAACTTCACTATCAAAAATCAATGGCTGTGTCAATTTCACAATTACCCCAATCACTTGGAGTTAATCCTAAAGATCAATCCAGACAGCACACTACATAAGAAAATTAACAGTCTTAGTCAATAAAATGTAACACAAACATATCAATCAGTACATTATATGTACAGGATTATTCGATCCGAAACATTTTGTGTTTAAAATTGTTTGTTTGAGAAAAATACAAAGAAATAAAAATAATTGGTCACAAAAATTATTGGATAAACACATTAATTGACCTCATGATGGTGACTAATCAATGGATTTGGACAAATAATGATGCTTTTTGAATTAGAACCTCCTTAACTCCATGTGTACCATATATTAAAATAACACATATTTGCTGCCTATGAACCAAAATTTCTCTCACTTTGCTAAGTCAAGCCCTACAAAAGTGATATTGTCCTGGTACACTCAAGTATACACACTTTAGAAATACATGATAATGTCCCCTCTGTGGCTCCTTGTGGAGGATGTTACCTCAAAAGTTGCGGGAATTCCCACTGAAGATAAGTCTTCAAATCCTGGAGCACCACCTATAAAAAACCTTCGCAATTCTCCACTTGGTCCATTTGTTATAGGTCGCCACGTGGGTAATGCAAAATGGTGTTGTCCAGGATGAGGAGGCACTTTTAAGAAACAGTAACCTTCAACACGGAAACGACCCCAAGAGTCAAGAGACAATACTTCAACAAACAGCTGGGGCCAAGAGGGGACGGAATCTGTTTTGGAACAAACCAAAATTAATTATACACTATTATTTGTTGCAAACAAATTATTGCATGCAAAAGAAAAACCAAACCTGCTTCTGCTGGAAGAGATTCCACCTTTAGCAATAAGTGTGTTTCGAACAGATGACCAAAATAAGCAGATCCTGTACCATTAGTGTGACATTTCTGTGTGATACCTGACAACTGCTGATTGCTGCAACTCCAACCTTTATCATATACCAGGAATACAGAACAGTTTTAATTAAGTCATTGTATACAAGTATCCCAAGAGTAAAAATCACTATTAATTTTAAAGCCCCTTCTCAGGAGCAATCAATGGAAAATATGACATAGGAAAGTAATAACTTACATGACTGCTCTCTTATTATAAAAGAAATATAATAATAATTGAAGCACAGAAAACTAACACTAATGGGGGACTAGTTAATAGTAAAATAACAAAAGATCATTTTTCAAAGTAAATGGAATTATGAAGTTGTATTTGCTTTAGCTTTCATCGGAGGAACTAAGACACACACTGCACTATTACATCATTTTCTATAGTAATTAACATTTTAGTTCTCTTTTTGGGTGCACTTCCAGTTAATTGGTTCCTTTTCGTCATATGCACTTCCAATATTCAGAATGGTAACAGAAAATAAATAGACTACTTACTTACAATTTAATTTATTCTCCTTTTTTATGAAAATGGCCTATTACATAAAATACAAAACTATTCATAAATTTCATTAATACCTTTTGGAAGTTCAAAGAGAAAATGTACAAATAAATCATTATATTCAAACTCTTCAGCACATACTATTTCTCCCAAAATGTACATCATGATGATATTTCTATGAGGAACATCAAATTCTGTCCCAACTTTCATTTGTCGGATGTCAAGTTGGCGACCTAAAAGCTATTTCATCAAGAGTTAATAAAATATATTTTTGCAAAATTATATTATCTTAATTTGTCAATACCTGGCACAGAATTGCTTCCTCTTTCTCCTTATCTTCTTCCACTAGTGACTCTGAAGCATGTTCAAGCCAATATTGATATACATTACGTGAATCACCATCTACTTCAATATAGTATGGTGTTGACTGTCCATTGAGAGCAGGAGAACTAAAGTCTGGTGTCACATACACTATGTTTGAATCAGTATCATATTTAATTGTACAGAGAACATATTCTGATCGCCCAATCCAATCTTCTTGCTCAGAACTATTACAAATAAAGTACCAACTTTGTTCACAAAAAGAAAATTAATTAAATTCAAGATACAATAAAAAATTTAAAAAAACCAGACAGAATGATAATATAAAGGTATCCCTACCTTTCCTTGGGACTTAAATCAGCTAATATATAAAATGATTGAAATGAACATTGAAGAAAATGGTTTGTTTTTTTTATTTCATCAGTTGGAGAAAAATCTACAATATGGCGATTAGCCAGACGTATTTCTTTTAAATGTGATTTATTTCGCCGAAAGCGTCGCTTCTGTTGCATTTCTGACATTCCTAGACCTAGCACTGTAGACACAGATTTTGTTTCTGAAGTAAGGCTGTTTGTCTGAAAGTTGCGATTTGTATATTATATTATTTTAAATGTTAAACAATAATAAGCAAACTGGAGAAAAATCTTTCTTTCTTACATGTTCAATTTCAGAGAAATTATCTGCATTAGTGTATGTAAATATTTTTCTTGATGGAACACAACCTTTAAAGAGGGTAGTCACTTCATTATGGTACTTTTCTTCTAAAGGGTTATGGCAATTTCCTATATGAGTATAGTATGATACTTCAAAGGGGCTGAAAATCTTTTCTTGCCAAGATATCAATTTCTCCTCCCTCTTCTCTATAATATTTGATGTACAATCAGCATTGTCAGCATGTGCTGTTTCAAAATCTGGTAATGGAATGAGTGTTGTTCTATCTTGTTCAAGTTTTATCCTAGATCATAATATTCATGAAAATATTATAGTTGTACAAAAGGGTACTAATTAAAAGCAAGGAAACAAAAAATAATTCTGAAACATTACTAACTTGATTTTGAAATTCTTTATAGGATCTTTGCACCTGTACACTCCTGTTACAAAATTCTGTTCTCTAGAAGACATTAAACTGTTTTTTGTAGTAATATATTCAACTTAAGTTTGTGCGTTTAATTATTTAGAACCAAGTACAAGGGCTGGTAATATGAGATAATAATAGAATATACAGAGAAAATTAGTAGAGAAGAATGCAAAACAAATCAGTATTATAGTTTCATGAAGCTTGCATTTCCTACTTTCAATCACACGAAAACGATTATTCACGAGTTCAAGATACACATTAAAGTAAAGAAACAATCATATTTCAGCATTCTGTTCCAGCAAGGAAGTATAGTATTGTTAGATATACTTCCTTGGAAATTGAATAGGTTTGCGGAAGCAACCGCTCTAGTACCTATGCAATTAATACTAATGTTCTCACCGGATTTCACGCATTGCAGAACTGACATTCTGATTATGCTTTAAAATGTTTGTTGCAGCACGTTGCCATGGTAATCTAAACATTCCGAGTCGTTCATTGGACGGGATCGTTCACCGTACACCAATGAAATCTCCAATGTGACTAAATTATTATTTCATAACCTGTAAATTTCAGTTTACATTCCATACATTTTAGGGCATTATTTGTGAGAAAGAAGAAGTAAGAAAATCGGCCGTACTTGAGACAAGCTTGTTTTTAAAATTGCCTTTATTTCACATAAAGTTAATCGAAAAATATAAATATTAAAAAGAAGTTAAAGATCAAAATGTGTGTGTGGTGCATGTAAGAACAAGAGGGGAGCATGCAATCCGTAGCCCGTTCGTTACGGTACTGCTCCAGCATTCGCCTGGTATTGATAGAAGCAGCCACAAAACTACTGATCAGGGACGATCCTGAATTCTTGGGGGAGTTTGTGCACCCTCGAACGTTAAAGCAATCGAAAGTACTATCGATCTTCTGCGCATACGCACGAAGTTCGCGTTTTCCACTTGTTCCTCTGCGCGTGCACAGATCGAAATACAAGTCGATCGCCGTCTATGGCGGGCACATACTCCCACTTCTCCAGTCAGCGACCTATCGATCTTAGTCGAAAATCACTTCCAAAGTTGGTTGGGACTTGAAGCCTTGGACCTCCCGGTCAGAGGCACTTAAGGGAAATTATTTGATGGCCTGGACCACCTCAGTTGGTTGTGACAATTAGAAATCAAATGAAGTTATTTGAAAAATATAACATAGATTAGATAATACTTTATTGATAATCGTATAAAAACTATTAGCTGAAATAATAAATTCCTGAAGGGAAGAAAGAAAGAAAAAGAAAGAAGCAAAGAAAGAAAAGGAAAAGAGGGAGAGAGAAGAAAACCACACACAACAAAAATCAATTCACAATATGAGAGTTTATTGTAGAAAATTACAAAAAGTATGTACATTTTTATTAATTACAAATATACACTCAGTAATAATACTGCCTTCTTTTCTCAACTGACACAGATCATGGCTCAACAGCAATTCTGGTTGGTATCATTGGTCTTTCTATCCCATAAGCCCGTACCAAGTCCTGCAACAGAAAGTTCATAAGACTGAACAAGTGTTTATTCCATATTTATTACATTAAGAATACTGAATGCCCTTTTTACTCAACCGTGTGAATGCAGAAAAAAGGTAATGTGGTTGGCTTGGACTGTGCATGTTTGTTTGCATCCACCCACTGCTCAAGATTTGCCTAGCAGCAGGCAATATTTTCTTTGACATGACTGATCAACATTATCTCGGAGTGTACATACAACAAAACCCTTCAAATTAAATTTGACCATTTCCCAATTTAACATTAAAACACAATAGCCCGATAATTTCTACATTCAATAATTACATAAACTAAAGAAGGAAGTAATAAATACCTGTAGAACAGTTTTAATTTAAAATTTTATTATAAGGGTAAATACCTAAGTGAGAAAACACTGAAATATAGCATGAATATTTTGCATTTCAATAAACATTTTATAGATTTTACACTGTAGATAACACAGTAGCTAAGGAATTTTAATTACTGAAATCTAAGCATGTAATAATTTAATAAAAGTAAATGCAAAATCTGAATAAAACAATTATATGTTAAAATAGTTCTACAGACTTCGAAGTCATAAAAACCAACAGCCAAAAGACACATAAGTGGACAGGGACAGAAAGATAAAAAAATTGTACACCTTTCTCCTTGATGCACACTGATACAAGAAAAAAAATCTACACTCTTAAGATTAAAATGTATGCTGATGAAAAACCAAATACTTACTTCCCACTGTTTAGGATCAAGTGAAACGGCAACTGGGACTCTACTTATTTCAGCTTTACTTTTACCGTCATCCTTCTGGGCAATTGCCTTTATCACAGGTAATCCATCTCTATCTGCAAGAAAGAAAACATAAGAATATTAAATTATATATGTTACATAATTAAGAAATAAATAGTGTAATTATACATTCTTTAATTCTTAAATAAAATAACACATTTAAAATTGGATGTAGCCCTAGAATTTTGAACTACACTTGTGTATGTATCTACAGGCCTAAGAAACCCTTCATGCTGGTAATGTCATATTGTCAAGAAGGAACCATGGTCACTGACACAGTTTTCCATCTCTGGCAAAGTACCTTGTGATATGGTTATCATGTCCCAGTCACAGGTCCCCCCCCCCCTAGTTTGCTTTGAAAATGAGGCAAAAAAACATGAAATTGCTCCCTTATGTTGTTATTTAAGCCAGTCATAAAGAATTACAGCATGTTTCAGAAAAAAACAATTATTTTTTTATTATATTCAATGAGGACATTTCTAAATAAATAAGAAGTATTTATTTTAAATTTCTTTCATACAACTTACCTAAACTTAAGAGTATCTGACCCTCTTTTACCAAGTGTGAAACATGAAATATGTTTTCAATGGTTTCTGCAAATGATGTAGGATGAAGAACAAAATCCCAAAATTGCAGAGGTGCTTTATTAGCTTTTTCCCATGCTTCAATAAGCTTCATGATGGATTTCATGTAAACTTCTAAATTTTCATCTTGTTTTTCAAGATTTTGTACCTGCCACAATATTTTAATTTTTATGTATTTCTTTTGTTAGGTCTAACAGAAAAGCAAATTGAAATATTTATTCATTATATTAAATAAATTCCAATATAGATTTCCAGTATCCATTAATTTCTTCTTGAACATTCTTCTTGAAACACATGAACCATAAAGTTTATGAGTAATCTGAAACATTTTAATACCTTAATAGGATTCTTCATAGGGGCATCAACTGTCATATCACGTCTCTGTCTAGTAGGTCTTTGTCCAGGAATTACTTCTTCTTCGATATCAATAGCACCGAATTGCCAGGTCCAGCCACCAGTATTATTAAAAGCTAAAGCTGTTTCATCTTCTAAAGCTGACCATATGTTCTGACATGCTGATTTGCCTTCCAAATGCAAGAGCTGTTACAAAATATGAAATATTAAAATATAATTGCAAATGTATAATATGACATCTTAATAACAATAATACACACAACTGGTTATTGCATTCAAAATGGTGAACACTGATTCACGATCAGGAAAAAGTGTATCACACATACATACAAGCCGTTCTGCATATTCCTTAGCTTTAAATTCACTTAATCGTGAATCCATTTTCTCCACCAAATTTTTATATATATAAGAGCTAGTGTGCAATATCTGAGCATCCAAAAATGCTGTACTTGAAGATGAGGCTAGAATATTAAGGCAAGAAGTGAGGGAAAAAAAATTAAATTAACAATACATTTCATAATTAACTTGAATTTGTATTATAAGAGGAAAAAAAAATACCCTTACCATTTTGTAACACATCATCAGCTTTCAGTATAATATTAGTTGTCTCTTCGACACAGGTCTCCTCTCCTCTTTCTGCTGCTTCCCCTATACAGACATTAAAACATATTGTGGTGTTGTTTAACATAATAATAATAATAATAATAATAATAATAACAATAATATTAGTTGTAAACAGAATAAAATCCTAAATTAGGCAATGATTCAATAAATAAAAACAATGTTACATTATAATAAAATATAAAGCATACACACAATAAAAATGAATACAAAATTATGATTACTGATGATGGAAATGGATATAACATTCGTTGAAGGAATTCCATGTCATGAGAGGTAAAAAAAAATGCATTAAAATTAATTATTGACACATTATTTATGAAGAACTATTGTAACTGTATATAACAATTTTATATAAAATCATTTTTAATAAAAATGATTCAAGTATATACCCTGACTGGAAAATGAGCCTGGATCCTCTGATTTATGTCCAGTTGCCCTGACTACTGGGCCACTGAAAATAATTATATTAATATTTTATTGAATCACTGCCTAATTTAATTGTCGAATATAATGTAGCTGTTAGAAATTAAAAAGGTAGTAATCCACCTTGTCACAAAACAAATTGGTTTACATACTAAGATCAATGCTCTGGTTCAACAGATTTCGCATCTGCTCATTGTAGAGGGTCTCTTTCTCTTCGTGTACTTTATATTTTTCTGAAACCCCAGTATTAGTTTGTCCATTGCTAACCATTTTGTCCTTTCAGAATCAGGGATTGAAGGCTAAATCAGTGCAAATTATTGTTAGTGATTGATTTTAGTTTTGAAATTTTAATTTGTAATGCTCTTTTTTTTCATCAAATCTAGTAGTCTCTTCTGTGCTGATACCGTCAGGGTTCCTGCTCCAAAATATGCGATATTTTCTGTCCTCTTCTGATTGCTTCCAATGGCTCATCCGTATAGAACTCCCTGGGCTCACCAAGCACCACCACCTCTCAATTTATCATATGTTCTTTGCTGAGCACCAAGCACTTGTATGACCCCGTAACACCGAGATCAACCCGACAACTGTGTGAAACAGAACTTGAAAAAACAAAAAACATACAAAATACCACAATTTTATTCCTGGTACTTTCCGATACTCTGACCACAGCTGACCACCGCCACAATATAATCATATATATATGAATATAATTGAATATCCATACAAGAGTGCCAACATTTCCGAGAAGAATATTTTTTAAAAGAAAATGCGTAATGTTCGAATAAAAAAACAACAACACGTACTTTATCGCCTCTGTAACGGTTACGAAAAATTATAACACCGCGTTTTTGACCGGATGAACCCATCTTACATCATTTTTGTAGTCGTTACTCGTAATCGTATTCCAAAGTCTTTGCTCGTAACGTTACCAATCGTAGAACATTTGGCGCGAAAAATTAATTATTTTAAGTGGACAGAATAAAGTGAACATTCTTTATATTTTTAGCGTCTCTGAACACTACATAGAAAGAGGAATATCTTGTATAAATTGAGTGTAACAGTAGAAGGCACAAAGAAATAGTTCCATGTCTTTGTGAGACAGATAAAACGATATTCTCTATAAACTGAAATAAAAGGAATATCAATATATCTGTATAAGTAGTCTTATTCGTATAGATATTCCGTCCGTTTAATACTAAAATAAATCTTTTTGATAAATTTGAATTTAACTGGCGATGAAAGTCATAATTATAAGCCTCCAAATGAGATATTTCTTACACTGTGGTATAAGCCGCACTATATTATAGCGCATATTGACATTGGTGGATGTTCTATGGTCCGTCCGGTCAGGAGCAAGCCGTTAATGAAAAGATTTCTTTCCATCACTTGCAATCATGAGTGATCATGAGCGAGCCCATGACTGAGCGTTGAACCATGGAACCATGCATGGAACAATAGCGTATTACATGGACCAACTTGGAACATTGTCCATGGTTACTCACACGTTACGTCCTCTTTTGTAAACATTTCACCTATGTCTATACTGATGATAAAATAAATGTTTCTTACATCATGTTTGTACTCTAGATGAAATATGCGTCCGGGTTTTGGTCAAAATTTACACGAAATACGATGCCGTTTCGGTATGGTGGTATGAATGACATGTATGACAAAATGGGTGCATGTACTTTGCACCTGCTGGGGCAGAGATTTTAGGTACAGGTCTTGCCTAAAAACAAGCCTAAAAGAATACGATTCCCCATCTTGGAAGTGTTAGTGAGGTCAGTGCCGGTACAGCGACCCATACCGGTAGCAGCTGACAATACATTGAAATACGTCTACGAAAACAGGGTTTGTGACCTATAACCGCCGGATTAGAATTAAAGTTCTGCAGAACAGAATGGCAGCAGCGGGGAAAGGGGCGAAAGCTTTGGAAACAATTTTGAAAATCATGACTCAGAATGGTGGTTTTGATCGGGTGTTACAGGGTGTAAGACAAACTTTTCAACAAATTTTTAACCTAATCACTTTCATTTGACTTTTATTGTGAACAATTTATTATTAATAAAAATTTTTTACTTATTTGATGTTCTCTCAGATACACAATCAGCTTTCTGATATTGGGTCATAAATTGTTAGTTCAAGGTTTTAGAAGGAGGGGCAGGAGCTTGTGTTGCAGAGATTGAGGTTGGGAAAGAACACCTTAATAAAGGTGGCTCCCTTCATGGTGGATTTACAGCAACTGCTGTGGATGTGATTTCTACGTGTGCATTAATGACTCAGGGTGATGGTGTTCCTGGGGTATCAGTGGATCTGCATGTGACGTAAGAACTTGATCAAATTATTTCATTTATTGAAAAGGGTATTTTAACAGTCATACCATATATGTTTCTATGAATTTAATAACAAACATATGTATTATTTACATTAAGATTTTATTTATTAATTCTATTGTGCTCTTCATGTATAACATTGGTATGGCAATTGCGTTCATTCTATTAACACTTTCCACTTTGGTATTCTGTCGAATATTCTCCACTGGCATCTATGGATTATTTATTGATCACAATTGTCTGTCCACCTACTCTGTTATGCAACATTGCATCAAAGTTTGTGACCATTTAACAATTTTTTTGACCTTTCTTTGGCTGGTTCTTTGTTTGCTAATGTAAACATTGGGAGTGATTAAAAAAGAAATTGTTGAACATTACATTCATGTTTATATCACAGAAGATAAATTATGTAAAAATTAACATCTCCAATGATTTAGTTAGTAATTTAATTTTTATTTGGAACAATTAATCATTTAGCTGCATGTTTAAAGACCTAATTGCCTGTTCCTGTTAATTACAACAGTAGTCTTGGAAGATTAACTCGATATTACTGATTTATTCATTTTGTGATCTCCCAAAGATTTCGCTTTGTTGGTTTACACATTAACTATCTTTAATAGTGTTTATTTTGAAATATGAGAAAGTTATTTCTTCTAATTCTCCTATGTCTCTCTTTTTCCCCTGTCGAGTTCTTTCCTATTGCCCTTACTTTGGCAGCCTTTTAAGGTGACTCCTACAAGGTGTTGAAATGGTCTTAGTGCAATTTACTCTAGTTATAATAAACCAGTTTCTATTTCTTAATATAATATACTGTTGTCGATTTCTATAACTGGATTCTCAATTGTTTAAAGATACCTGAAAGCTGCTCGTCCTGGTGACAAAGTAATTTTTGATGCAACTACAATTAAAGCTGGGAAGACATTAGCATTCCTAAAGGTGGATGTTAAAGACAAATTAAATGGGGACATTATAGCAAGAGGAAGTCATACAAAATATATTGGCAGAAAATGAAAAATAAATAGTTTAATTTTGTGATAGAAACAATAACAGCTATTTTTTGTATCCTCAAAGTGAACATTATAGTGTACTATTGCAAATTATTGTTAGAAAATAAAAAATATTTAATTGGATAAATTTTATTTAATTTCCACATGGATATGTAAGTGACTTACATATCTATAGGCTAGAAGGGTTTTTTAATATCTTGTAAGAAACAAAAGGATGTGATGTTTGCAGTCTGTATTACTAATTTTCAATGCACACAGAAATTGAAAGAAAATGCAGCCTCTGGCCGTGCGAGTAGTGTCATTTGTTAATTGCCAGGAACGAGAAATCCAAAAACAACTGTTTTGATTTGAATGAAAAACACAAATATTTCATTGTTGTATTCTGACTTTTTGTTCTGTGGACTGACTCAGTGCATTTTCTGATAATGATACAGCTGATGTCAGGGTACAGCAAGGCTCCATGAAAGAGGCTGCCTGCCATTAAATATTCTCTGTTCACATATTGCGTTATAGAACAGCATTTGTATATAAAGAAGACTTGTCCCCAGGAAAATGTACTGTTTATTGTAGTGTTTAGGAAGTCTTTTTTTGTTGAAATATTAAATTTCGACAGCTTTTATTGTTGTTCCTGAGCCAGTTGTTTATATTTGAATGACTAAATATGAAAGAGAAACTCAATGTATTTTACCAGTTAAATAAGGATCTACTTTTGTTACTACTTGTGGTTCAGTTAGGTTTTTAGTTTTAAGGATATACATTATTAAGATATTCCAAAACATCACATCACTTGGGTAAGTCCTGTTCCTTTAAAAAGAGCTTGTGGATGTTTCAGTTTCCTTTAAACTTTTTTAAAAACCAGTTTGGGCCAATTGGAATTTACAAGTCTCCATTGAACCACTTTTCAAAACAGTTTATATGCTTATTAATTTACAATATATTTAACTTTTAATCTTAGTATGGTACATACTACTTTAATTTGTAGGATCAATTTTTAAAAATTAGAAAATTAAACTTAAATGCTCATCTTAACTTTTGTGATTCTTTTACTGTAAGAAGATATTGATTTGTCTATATTTTTTTTCAAGCAAGATAAACCCAACAAAGGCTCTTGTGTGTGTATACATGGAATTATTCCATAACAGCATGAACATACAATATTATGAAAATTATTGCAAGAGACTGGCAGAGTATTACATTTATGATTAAAGAGAATTGTAACTTGTAACGGTAGTTATATGAAACCAATAGGATGACAGTTAGGGAAAGAATTGGAAAGAGTAAAGATAGTAATAAATGGGAAAATAATTGAACAAGTAAAGAAACTTTCATGGAAACTAATTTCACAAAAACAAGAAGACTGAAAACAAAACCCAACAGTACAACAAAAAAATACTTCAAAAAGGTTATGAACACAGAGACAAGACAGAGAATATATTGAATAACTTCAGTGTTGACCGGGATTTACATAGAACATTAATATTTTTGATATTCACAAATGAACAAGATTTTATTCTCAGTACCATCCTAAACATGTACTTTACTTTTTCACCATTTCTACTTAACCTCAACCAAATGACCATCATTGTGGTGCTATGCCTCAATTGCTGTAAAATTGACAAAACGACTTATGAAAACTTACAAATTGTTAGATTCGCAACAAATGAAGTAAAGATATCACACATATTCCCTGTAAGTAACTTCAGCCACACATTACATTAAGAAGGAAATCTCAAGGTTCAAAATCGAAGGTGTTGAATGGTTTGAAAAAACTCTGAACATGGAAAAATAAACTTAAATTTATGCAAAAACAACTATTTTGCAAAGAAAGAATAAATTGTAGACAATTTTGAGGAATAATTCCATAAAAAAATCTCTACCTCTAATATTTAAGGAGTAGGATGGTTAAAAAAAATAAACTTGCAGATTTTGTAATTCTAGTTGTCTTAATGGAAATTGTTTTTTTTACCATATTACTCAGCAAACTTCCTATTTGTGTAATGGATTTAATGTAAAAATGTGGCTTTGGGGAGCAACTCTTGTTTATTTTTAATAACATTTCATTTCCTCAAAATTACAAGAAAAATACTAATACTTTGAAAAATTGGTACATGACATTAAACATTAAGTCCTTACTGTGTACTAGATAAAATAGGATTAAAATGCCTCTGATTAAACCTTTAAAAATAATCATTTAGCAAATGATTTATTCTGGATTTCTTGTTCAGTTCTGCGACATTCTTTAACATCTCAATGCATTTCCTTTTAACAAATCACATCCTCTAAAAAATATTTTGCACTGTTGACATTGAAAGACTGGTGATTGAAAAAACAAGTGAGAATAAAACAACCAATTGTTTAAAAAAATTAATATTTATTTACCTTTTTAAAACTATTTCATTCATTATTATTAATAATATTTACATTAGGAGGATGAGTTTCCATCTTTAAATAAATCTCACTTATGAACAATGAAGACTTCTCATGCAATTATAAGGTCAAGGAAACCATTTTACTAAACATCTAACAAACTTCAGGAACTGAAGAGTTTTAGAGAATCTTTTTTCTTGGATTTTAATGAAATGCATATTCCATGATCAGTAAAATCCTAAAATGGATTCATTTCATTCTTAATTTGCAAGTTTAGAATTCAATATTTTTGTAAGGTGAAGGATGATTGAGAACAAATAGAATATTTAGAAAAATCACAAGCACCTCTGTCATTTTGGTATTTTTAATTCCGATTATTTTCTCAAGTAGGAGATGTCACAAGAGGGTTATTATTCGCGAAAATCTAGAATGTCTAGTTTGGTCAATATGCACTATCTTGTGTACCAATTTTCTCAAAGTAATGAGAGTCAATTAAGATATAAAAGATTTGGACCCAGAACTGCATAATATAATTGCTTTTGTGATTAATCATATAAGGTAATAGTGCTTTTAATACCAATACCTATAAAACTCTTCCCTGCAGAACTGATTCAAAGAGCATTTCAAAACTGTACAAAATAATATAAATCTCACAAGTTCTTTACTTATTAAATCTTTTGCTAAATTTTGGAGTAGCTGGTGAAGTTACTGCAGTTCTTGGTCGATCTGGTATCGGTCGGTATGATCTGATCGGTTGTGCTTTGTGGACCGCTTGCTGTCTGAGTAGTGCAACTTCTTTTTCTTGCTTTATCATTTCCAACTCCTTCCTCTGAAATTAAAATTAAATAAACTTACCACTTCAAAACCAACAAAGATAAAAATTGTAAATGAAGATTTTCTTTCTTTACCCTTTGGCGTTCAGCCTCTATTTCTTCAGCTCGTAATTTTAAATATTCATCATATTCTTTTCTTGATAGGGCTCTATGTTCGGTATGCAAAGTTACATTACCAGGTTGCGTAAAAGAGCGTTCTGGCAATTTGGGTTTAAATGGTTCTTTCAGTAGAACAGTTGCAGGTTGAGCTTTGAAAGGCACATTCTTTTCTTGATCCTAGAAATTGTGAAATTACATTAAAAAAATTACAAATGAAAAGTGAGAAGTACTAATCATTTCACTTACATTTGGAAGAGTAACACGTGATGGAGATCTGGATTCATTGCACATCTCTTTTGTACATTTTTTTATATAAGTTGGAACAGGATTTGCATGAAAAATTCTTGCTTCTTTTTCTTCTTGCAACACCTAGAATTTTAAACCGAAATAATATCGGGTCAGATACAAAATTTCAGAGTTTATCTACTGGTCCTTTAAACTTTAGTTTCAAATTCTATCACTTTAGTTCTTTGTCAAACTGACGAATAATATTAACAGGCAAAAAGTAAGAAATATTACACAAGTAATTCTTTCAAAAAAGTGCGAAATCATAATCTTATATTTTTCTTGGCCAACAATCCAAATTTCAAAATGCAAACAAGAAAATACGAATCATTGGTAACAAAACACATAAGATGTTAGAATTAGAAAAATTAATTAGAAAATAAAGTAAATAATCACAACAACAACATTACAATGTCATCATCATGAACAGCAGGGTTGTAGGTAGAATGCCTGTTCCTGTTAAAAGACAGTAGATCTGGTGATTATTCTCCATATGGGCCTGTGCAATCCATCTTTTGTTGGGTCTTCCTATATTTCTTCACCTTATGGGTTTATAATTTAAACTGCTTTAGGAAATCTTTCCACCTGCATTCAATGCACATGTGAAAGCCATCTCCCCTGGCTTTCTTTGATATCATCCACTATATTTTTTCCTTTGAATTTTTTTTCTGAAATCAGTGTTTCTTTGCGTGTAATTCCTACAAGGGGTTGGAAGTCTCATTAGTGAGGCTTCCAATCTTGGACAGTCTGTTTTAGGGCCCATATTGCTGATCCATACATTAGAAACATTGGCTTAGGTGTTATGTTGTGTAATCTTAGTTTTTTCTCTGCTGTTATACCTATTCCAAGTTTTTCTTGATTATTCCATTTACCCCATAATATTTTTGAATTTTCTTTCTTGATCTTCTGAATTTTGTCCAATGATGTTTCCTATATACATAAATTTTGCTACTTGATCTATTATTTTTTACATCTATAACAATTTTAACCCTTCTCATTTCTTTGGATTGGAAGGTTTTAGCTTTAGTCTTATTTGTTGAGATGTTCATGTCATGTGTTAGGGATATTTTATGAAGTTCTGCCCTCTTAGTCATCTTCTGATTCCATTGTTAGGATCATGTCATCTGCATCTGCTTTTGGACCACTTGTCTTTGTTTAAAATTATACTGATTTTTCACTTTCTGATCGTGTGTTTTGCATTGATCATTTTGTTTTGTTAATCAGGCATGGTGATAGCCCACATCCCTATCTCAGTCCTCTGGCTTATTCTAAAAGTGTGTATTGCTTCCATAATTCATTCTAACTTTGATATGAGTCTGTATACAGACTCTGGATTCCTTATTATTCCTTCTTTATCTACCAGTATTTCCAATATTCTCACCCTTGGCGTTCTCAAAATCTATAAAGAGGAGGAAAGTTGGAAGATTCACTGCAATTTTTTTGTCAAGGATTATTTGTACTGTGAAAATGGCATCTTTTGTACTTGTGCCCTCTCTAAATCCATAATGTTTTTCTCTCGGGAATTTTTCGCTATATTTAATTTATTTCTTCAGATATTAGCAAAAAGTTTTGATACTGGAAACAGGAGAGTGATCCCTTTCTAGTTGTTGCAATCTGTTTTTGATCCTTTCTTGTGAGTAAATTTATCACTATACCTATCATACACTCTCTTGGAAGTGTATACTCTTCCCAAGCTTTGTTAAGTAGTTTTGTTAGGGTATTCTTGAGACCATTTCCTTTATATTTTAGAAGTTCTATTGGAATTTCATCTGCACCAGACTTTTCTATTTTTGGCTTTCTTCAGTACTGCTTCTAGTTCTTCTATAGTTCTTTCCTGTACTCTACTTTGTTCAGTAATGTCAGCCTCATTTCCACTTATACTTGGTGGACTGTCACTATTCCAAGTCTTGTGTAATGGTTTACCCACTTCCACTTCAGGATTAGGTCCAAATTGATTTTGTCCCTTGTCTACAATCTCAGCATTCTTAATATTTTGAAACCATTGCTCTGTGGGTTTGTGATATCCCTCTCTAGTGTTACCATGAATTTCTTCCAGCCTTTCCTTTAATGCTCCATGTTATTCTTCTTGACTGAGCTCTACTTCTTACTCATTTCTCCTTATTTGGCCTTTTAAAACCAATAGCTTCCTTGGCTGCAAGTAATATTGCTTTTTTCAGTGTTGTTCAATGTAATGAATTTATACTAAATTTTATTACAATGTAATGAAGAGAAAGAGCAACATTAACACTAAGGTGGAAAATATTCAAGATGGAGTGAAGTAGGAACTTGCTGCTACTCGTAAGAGAACAGTCAGCTGAGAAAGTCTTGCGGAGAATAAATAAGAGAAACTATGAAATGGTGAAACATAATTTTAAACAGTAGGCACATGTATGTCAAATGCAAAAGCAACAAAATTAGGTAAACAAGCTTACTTATTAAGGGTCTGGATTATAGAATAAAAGAATGTGTAAAGAAAATGTCTACTGCATGAAAGGTAACTGAACTTCAATTCAGATAAAACAATATGAAAACAAGTGGTAATACAATAGTACAAACTCTCCCATTCAAATTGTAACATTTATGTAATAATAATATAATATAGCAATTTCTATCCCTTTGACATTTCAGCCATCATTTTAAAAATGCCAAACCAAACAATGAGCAAAAGCGTTTTAGTTTTTTCAAACAACATATCTTCGAATTTTTTTATTTAAATGAAAATGCTAACTTCTTGGCACTTCTCCAAAAGAACACTGAAGTTGTTTCCCAGAGTAACATGTAAACAGATAAGAAGTACAAGACCCTACATAGAAAATATTCCAATCCCTCAATCAAACAGTTGATAGAGATATCTCTCTTCTGTGGTTGAAATTGGGATACTTGTTTCCTGAAACAGAATGGTTCCTTACAGAAAATCAAGATGGTGTAATAAAAACTCTTAATTACGGAAAACTGCATATATACTTCAATATATAGGGAGGTACAAGTAAGAAACTAAAATTGTCAATTGGCATTGAATTATAAAGTATTTAAGAACGTCCTTCCATTTTTCAAATCACTTTCACCAGTTCTAGAAAATACTGAAAATAAATAATCTGTGATAGAACAATTGCAATTGCCTGGATTAAGCAAGTATCAATAAATGATAATACAAGAATAATAGACATAAGCTGCCAACAAGCAATATGAAAAAGTTAGAATCAGAAAAGACATCTTAATAGACTTTGGCAGCAGAAATTCATCATTTGGCAATTAGACAAGGGTAATATAGTAGCAATAATTTTCTCTTGGAAATTGTATGGATTGATTGTACTACAAGTCTTATCAAAATAGAATCTTTACTCAAAAAGTGAATTCAATGACATAATCAACATTGATTCCACAAAAAGGAGTGTATGAATTGATATGATAAAGGTTCTTCTTCATGATTGACGTGGTGTCCTTGAAAAATTTGGTGAAGTTTAATACAACACAAATGCGCTAAATAAATAATTTAAATAATACGCTAGTAGATGGCCCACGGTAATTATTTTTTGCCTGTCGCTAAGTGACAGGTTTCTAATAAATTCCACCAGAGGCCAGTAGCGGTGCGGTAGAACCACAGAGCATGCATAGGGAGATGACCAGATGAATAATCTCAATGAAAATTACCAGATTTACGTATTTTTTCACAGAAGTTTATATGCTGTTGTTGTTGTTGTTGTTGTTGTTGTAACTTCACTAGATGGAGCTACAGCACAAGCTGGCGCTTCAGTTAAATGGAATGCCCAATCCACCTGGACTTCATTATTTGCTGGGCGTTGCCATATGATGAGGCTGAGGAGCCCATGAGTAGTTAGCAGCCTGGGAGGAGAGAGAAGGGAGAGAGGGAAAATGAGAAAGGGGGAAGAGAGAAGGAGGAAAAAGAGAGGAAAAAAGGGGGAAAGAAAGTGGGTACGAGAGAGGGAAAAGAGAAAATGAAAAAAGACAAAAGGGAAAGAGACAGGAGAAAACAAAGAGGGGGGAAAGAAAGAAGGAAAAAAGAGAAGGGGGAGAGAGGGGAAAGGGAGAATGCGGGAAAATGGGAGAGAACAGGGATAATGCAAAAAAAGAGAAGGGAAAAGACAGAGAGAGTAGGAAGAGAGAAAGGGAGAGAAAGAAAAAAGATCACAACATCTACTGGGTTCAGCTAGTTAGTTATAAAAATGACCAAAGGACTATCTATTATTTTCATTATTAATTAATTAGCATGTTCTGTTGCATTGTAGACAGCCAATATTAAAACACAGCAATAACTTTCAAAGTTAATTAACATTTATTTTAATACACAATACATATATTGCTATGTTTTGAAGGAACATTATCCTTCATTGTCAGGCTTGAGTGAGTCAGGAACTGTAAGAACATGGAAATGAACAAAATTGTAAAAACCCTAATGACACAAAAGAATTATGGACATAAAAAGATAAAATTGACATCAATAATAAATACACATTGTTGGTTGAAATCACATTAAAAGTGATCGACAGCTAATAACTCAATAACAACAGAGGTTTTAACTTTCTCGCACTTTCTGATGTAAGAAGAGAAAGTACTGAAATTGTGCGTTGGAAAACGGCGAATTTTCGACAAAACAACTTCTATTGCCTGGTAAGGAAAAAGTGGATAAATCCAGTTGCTTAATATTGAAAACAAATTCCTCTAACATGTGGTGTAGCCAGAATCTATGTTTTGTGGGTCCTTGATACCGACTGCAAAACATCTGTCTGTGCACAATGCTAGTGCATAAACCGTTCAGTCGATTTTCTCTAAAATTGATATTTCCTAATCATTCTAGCTGATGTGATAAAGAGAAAAAAAAGAGAGTAGTTTTTGCGTATTTTGTGATTGGAACTAATGACAAAATTTTTTCTCAAAAACTGGTCCAACTTTTTTCTTTAAATTTTCTTCCCTTGTGTAATAAGGAACCGTACGAAATAGGGTACTAGTCTCTTTTTTTCGAAAATTACCAAAATATTTCAAAACTACAAAATTGAAGATAAGAGATTTTTGCCTCACACAAAGTCTGTTTTGCAAAACAAGTTCTTTAAAAAGGTCATGTAAAATTAAACAACAAAAAAAAGCAAGACAATATGTGTTGTAGCACCACTAGCTTTGAAGTCATTCATGGACAATATGATTTTGATGAACTAGGCAACTAAAATTAAGATTACAGGCATTTTTAGGTAAGGTAAGCGCACATTATTGAAACCATTCAGGGGCTGTTCATAAACTACACAGCACAAATTTGGAGTATTTTGAATGCATCGGAGCCCCTGTAATGCCCTCTTAACGTGTGCTTGAACCCCCCTAATTTATTACATAATGCTTGCCACCCTTCCCCTCAGTGATAATAAATAATAAAATAAAAACAATTTGTAATAATTTTATTTTTGTATTAAATTTATAATCATGAAAATCTAAATTAGTTGGTGATTCTGACTGCACCTAAAAATACAGGGGGAAAATGTGACTGAAGGAAGAAAACACAGGCGAGAAAGTTGCTGTTGACAAGCCGTCAGGGATCTTCTTACAAATTCCGTAAAAAAATAATAAAAAGTAGTCCCATTAATTGTAACAATTTATATCTAATAACTTCAATTTATTTATGCTTTTAAAACAAATTGAGTCACTAATATTTTTATGTTTTAGTATAAGACTAAAAAAAGGAATTATTTTAGCAGATGTTGGAAAAATGTAAGAAAATAAATATGTTAAGTAACAAACTAATACCCTGCCCCTACCCTTATGTAATGCAGTGTAACGTTGCCTCAAACACCCTCCCCCTTCTTTAGCGTTAGGTAAGTAATGGACGATCCTTCACCAAATTCATAACGACTAGTTAAGAAGTTATTCTTTTATAGCAAATTTAGAATGTGGTTCTGTCCATGGCTGAGGTGTGTCTAGAATTACGGCGAGGAGTATTTAAGAGTTAAGTTCAGGTACAGGGAGGTGGTAAAAGTAGTGGGGAGGGGAGGGGAGGGAGGGAGAACAAAAGTGGAGACAGTAGAGACTTGACTCCTTCAGAAATAGGGACAACCAGACTTAACTTTAGCACCTCTAAGGAGAAACTCTTTGAGGACATTATAGAATCGAAGTCCCATTCTGAATATTATGTTGATTACTTTATACAATGGTTTAAAGAGCAGAAAAGAGAAAATTAAATCTTTGCTTAAGGAGTCAAGTCTCCACCGTCTCCAATTTTGAACACCCTTCTTACTCTCCCCTTCCCACTACCTTTAACCCCCCCTTCTGAACCCCACCTAAACTAACTGCTCCTTGCTGTATTTTTTACACAGAAGAATTAGACACATATCGGTCATGGACACAACCACACTGTAATTTTGCTACTAAAGAACGACTTCTTTACTAATTGTGGTGTATTCTGGTGAGTTTGAAGTTTCAATACTGTATGCTAAGGGTTTGATGTTACAATACTTGCCTCATAATGCAGGCAATCTTAATTTTTATAATTGTTTTGTAATCCTAATTTTTAATATGGTTTTATAATCTTTGAATTTTTCGTAGGTTCTTCATTTTATCTTATTGTACCTGTTACCAATATTTGATAATACTCGTATATGCTGGCTATCTTAATTGCCGTGGTTTATCAAAATCATCCATAATTAACTTAAAAAAAAAATAATAATAATAAAAAAAAAAATCCCCTCAATGTTAAAATCGAGTTCTTAGCTGTTAATGTAACTTCCGCTCTCAACCAACAATGTGTATGTATTATTTATGTCAATTTTATCTTGTGATGTCTATTATTCTTTTATGTGTATCACAAGTGGTTTTACAATTTTGAATGAAAAAAAACTACAGAATGTAGAGAAACAAAATATTGAGACATTTTGGAGTAAACTTGAAAAAATATGATTGAAGCAGGAAAAGAGTGTAGGGTATAAACCATTCAAGAAAAAGAAATTGTTCAGAACATGGAACAATGATCTAAAAGAAGAAAGCATACAGAACCTACCTCAAAAAAAGAAAAAACAGTGGAAATGTATACGGAATATAAAAGATTCCAGGCCAAAGTGAGATGGGTCAGCCGAATACACAGGAAATAGAACTGGAGAAAATTTGTTAAAAGCATAGAAAGATATGTATTGGGCTGTCAACGAATGGGTTTCAAAGTTTTGAAACTGGTGCATGTGAGTGTGAAAGACAAAATCTCTGGATTGGATAAAACACTATTCCACGCAGTGGAACAATCCAACTCTTAGATCCAATGAAGTGCTGGAAGGAATAAGCCAAATCTCTGACAACAATGAACAAGACAACTCGCTGAATATAACAAATATGAACTCGAGGCAGTCTGTGTGTGTGTGTGTGTGTGTGTGTGTGTGAGAGAGAGAGAGCACACACACGCACGCGCACGCGCGCGCGCACGCGCTCGCGCGCGCACACGCGCTCGCGCGCACACACACACACACGTTATAGCTGGCAGCAATAAGAACCAACAGCGGCTAAAGGCAATGATGTGAATTATCACCCATTCTCTTCAATATTTATATTAACCACTTAGTGAGAATCTGGAAAAAGAGTTAGACAAGGAATCCAGATCACAAAAGTCAAGAAAATAGATACAATAGGTAGAACCCTACCTTCACCTCACCTTTGGACCACATCAGCCTGTGTGCAATTTCTCAGGGGTACCATTCTTTTCTTATTTAACTTTTAAAATTCTGGTTGTGTTTTGATATTGGTGGTCTACAATGCTACTAATTAATTAATAATAAAAACAATTAATACAAGGTGTTAGCATCACCATCCAGAAAGCATTAGTCCTTCAGACTTGCCACACAGTGAAAATATTCTTAAACTGAACAAAGGACAAAGATGAATTTCTTTCCTTAGATCTGTCAAGATCAGCTGCATTTTCTTGAGCCTAAGCCCAATGACTAGGTTTCTAGCACTTAAAAACTGACGAAATGTAAACATCAACAATATATTAACAATAATATTGATGATAATAAAAACAATCCTTAAAAAATTAGATCATGAAATACTGTAAGACTCACCTTTTTAATCTTCTCTTCCTTGTTTTTCATCATTAACTTGTCTCTCTCTTCAAAACTAAATGGTTGGGGCAGTGTTTTGTCAAGCATCTTTCCGATGGGCACATTTGTATGAACAGGAGACTTTTCAACGACTGTCAACTTACCATTAATTTCCTGAGGAGTATCATAATAGGTTATTATTGTATTATAAGTAGTTATTACATGCCCACTGGATTAAAATTAGTAAAAGACATATGTATTACTTCAATAGTCTGAATTTTACTTCGATGTTTTGCAACAAATGATGGTGTATGGGGAGAAGTAACAGGCAAAACAATCTTATCAGGAACACCTAATGGATGTTGTAGCATTCCTTTTGGCACAGGTTTTGCTTTAAATTGGAACGGCGATGATTCTTTTGTTTCCTGCAAATATTTTGAAAATTAAAATTAAATACCTATGATTAAATAAAGAAAATAATTTACATTGCAAAGTTTTTGCATTGCTTACCTTTCTTTTATACTCTGTCAAGTTAAATGGTTCTACAACCAATGGGGCTCTAGGAACTCTTCGACCTAATTGGGGAGGTTCAAATATTTTCTTATTCACTGGTTTTGCTTTTAACTTGAATCTGTAAGAACAAACATTTTTTACATAGTACCAAAGTACTTAATTTAGATTTACTTATACCAAAGTAATTTCACTTACGACTCTATTTCTTCTATTTCTTTTTGTGCTCTCTCTTCAGCTGATGGGTAATTTACAGGACGTGTTCTTGTTTTGCTTAAAAGCATTGGTGATTGAGGAATTGTCACATGGAACTTTGATATTGAAGAATAGTTTTTATTTTTACCTAAAAAATATAATAAATTAGTGGTGCAACATAATGGCACAGACTTTCTCAGACTAATTTTCAAATCCGTCTAGTCAAGACCAATTTTTTGGTACTGCCCCACCCTTCTCCCAGCTGCTATCTATTGGTAAAATATTTCTTTTCGCACTTCAATTTTTTTGTCAACTAAAAGTAGAATTGAAATCTGACTAAGAATGTTACAGAAGAGTAAAATAAGCTCTCAACAGTTGTCTTCCTCCATTTTTCAGCTACCCTTGTTCCAACAATGTATTTCCCAGGCTACTTGTGCGAAAGCCAGTGTGTTTGTAATAGCACAGACCTCACAAGCCCATGTGAGGGCAGAAGAGTCTCTAAAATACAACCTTCCACTGTTCTTGCAATGAGTGCTTTCGGTTCAGGGGTTTTAAACTCTTACTGTTGTTCAGTTCAGAGAGTTCCAGAGGTGTTAATCAACTGTTTATGTCAGACAGCAAATTGAAAACATTAACTCTCTGATGACAAAATTACACCAATTGATGAACACAAACAAAACAACACATATTGTTTTGTTACAGGAATTTTAAGTTGAGAAAACTGAAGAGTATGACACCTTAAAAACAAAGGCAAAGTCAAGAATGAGTGGTTAAAAAACTTTTATTTATTGGTGGTTGCCTCAATATTCACAAGTAGGGATGGGTGATTATTACATAATTGATTAATATTTAATCAAATTTTTTAATTAGATTAATATGCATAGATTAATCTTATATAATTGATTAATTTGTCACGTTTTAAATACTGTATAAAATCATTTATTTTTTATCTGTAAATTAATTAATTGCTTAGTAGCTTTTTAGGCATGTAGAAACACTTATTTAATTAATTATATTTGCTTATTCTTTATTTAAACAATATTCATTCCACGCATTTGCTCATGAGAAATGAGCATAACTCAGTTTAAAATGAAAATGGCCCTAGTATTTCTCTACAATAATACCCTGCAAGATAAAAGTTTGGAATAAGCTAAGTTCACTAGAAGATAACCGAAGTTATCTCCGAATTAACTAATATTTTTTTTAGTTCACTAACAACACCAATAATTGTAACCTAACGATGTACTTGGTTTAGGATGATTCTAGGAAAACTGGTAATTCTGTTTCTTACTTTGTACTGAACATAACACTGTCACTAAAATATTATGACATATATAGGGACTTTTCATTTTATTAGTTTTACTACCATGAAATGAATGCTGTTTGTCACTATTCTATTTTGCAGTTGGGGAGAGATGAACAGATAAGAATCTTATTACTAAAGTTCAAAAATTAACATGTAATTCCATATTTAGATAGCCTATAAAATTAATATTTGAATTAATATTAAAATAATAGAGCTAAAACTTCAATAATTTAATTGGTGTAAAAATAAATCTATTTCAATTTTTTGATTAATTATAAAATAATTTATTGTTGTACTAAAAGCGATTAAATTGCCCATCCTTCTTCACAAGCCCCTAGGCAAATAGTACTAAAGCCTAAACATCAAATGAATTCATCTATTCCCACAAATATTGAAGAAAATAACATTTTTTACTTTTGATGTCATTATATTTGTTGTGTTTCTATATGTTGGAACAATTATGTTTTCTGAATTGAGTTTTTACTGCAAACCTGAATAAGCCAGAAACCTGGACAGATTATTGCAGAAATTGTTGTTATACCTCGATTTCTTTACAGTCTGTTGATGTTTGGTCCAATTAGGAGCTTAAACATCACTACTATAGTGTCACCCAAGCTCAGCTCCCGAATCAACACAAACAGATAATTTAAATCAACAGACCCTAAGTTTGAAAGTATAATTGGGTTTCACAGGATAAATTAATCACCAGAAAAAAAGGGATAATATCCTCTCCCCTTTCACATATTAAACATACAAATAAATCTTTGTTTACATATAGCCTTTACCATTACAAATGTTACTTTCTTCTAGTGTTAAACAGAAATTCTGCTGCAATATGAAGTGACTCTGGAAGTAAGATATTAATAATATTCTTAATATATAACATTGTAGCACAGAAGGCTTTTCCTCTACTAATATTTGCTTGAATGTATGAAATCATTGGAAATTTGAGACTGAACAAGCATTCACTAACCTTCCCAAGGCATGTAACAAGTGCCTCTCAAGAAATACTACCAAGAACATTATTCTGGTCATATGAAAATTCAATATTTAAAGGAAGAAGTAATTATGACATTTGTGATACACATACTCAAGGATCTCTTGTAGCTTCTTTGCTGCTCACTTATAATGCGACTTCAAAAATGACCAGGTACTATGAGACTAAAACTTCCCCTGAATATATTGAATGTTTGAAAGTGTCTAATAATAATAATAATAATAATAATAATAATAATAATAATAATAAACAACTAGTAAAAATAGAAAGAATCAACATATGACGGATGGCAACCCTAACTGCTGGGAATATCCTTATGGATCACTAGAGCATCTCATTCCATCATTACCAAGCAACTTCCACATTCCAGCTCAACATTTCAGAAAAAAGTCACTCCCATAGTTAACTGTATACAAGCAAAAAAAAGAAAATAATTTTACCTCCAATCTTCTGAGATTGTGAATGGTAAGTACTCCGTATGTGGCCCTGAAACTCTTTCACACCTTCTGCAAGGCTTATAAATTTCATTATTTTATGATCAACATCACTTTTCCTCTTTCTGTTTTCCTGCAAATATTAAAATATTGTACACCAATTTTTCTCAAAAGAATTTTATTCTAGAAAGGGACTTGCTTACCGCAATATTCTGAACACTACCAGTAATTTCTTGTAGCACCCCATTTTCTCCTAGAAGAGAAAAATAAAAATAAATAGGTATTTACATATAGTCAACCCTGGCCGAATTTTACTTATATCATACTTTTTTCCAGGTCTGGAAGGCAGGTAACACAAGTTAAAGCATCATCTTCTGAATGAGAAACAGTTGGAATTTCCTCAATTCTTGACTCCAATTCCTCTGATTCATTTAGTGAAAGTTTATTTTCTAACTGTTCATGAATATCTAGAAAAGAATGGACTGTTTATTTTTATATTCTTTCATAACATTAGGGAAAAAAATGACACATCCCTACCAAAGAAAGCGTCCGCCCCATCATCTTGATGGAACTTCTCCACGAAATCCATGTGCGGGACATTATATTCATATGCCATGATCGTAACCAATCTTCACACCACGAACTTGTCACGCAAAACGTTAGTTAACCACCTAAATCCTCTTCTCGCGCAGCGAATTCAAATTTATACGGTTGCGGTATAGCGGTTCAGTCATACCAACACCGTATCCCAAAAATTACTTGTGTCCGAAAATATTTCCCATTCTTCAATATATTTTACGTATCCGAGAATGAAACATGTACAATAGATTTATTTAATAGATTCAGTTTTATAAACAATGCTATGATTCGTTCACACTTCCCAAATATAATGCCCAACCTGAGCCAAGGTGAATGTATATATACTGGTAATTTGAGTTGATTCTGACTATGGACACAGAATAACTGTGCTATGGATGAATATAATATTCTCTGGAATAAATGGTGTTAATCTCAAAGATGTTATAACTAACTAAGATGTTACAAAAACTTTGATATGCATACTGCGGTTTCGAAACCAATGAAAAACACGAACGTTTTAAGATGTTCTTAATAAGAACTTCTTATGAGGTTGGGAGCATTCCAATTTCCGCATTATTTCATCCGTTTCCTTTTTTTAAATTTATTTCTTGTTCGGCAATGTGGCCTTTCAAGGGTTTCAATACAATGGATTTTCATTATTAAGAGTAGTTATCCTTGGCTTTTGGGGATTTTAGTACACCGCTGCTCTGTTAGGGGTTTGTTTGGGATGGGCTTGGTTTAATATTTATTTAACATTTACATGCTTACAAACGTATCTTTTTGGAATTTGAGGCTGTTAGGGTGCACAACATTACCTCCTCGGTTAAATGCATTCGTTAAGTGAGATAGGTTGAGTGTAATAAAAAAAAAAATAAAAAAAAAAAAAAAATCCAAATTGTGGAGATGTGATTTTTTATTAAATCGATACGTGAATCTAAGAATTGAATAAACAAGGGCGCTTGTATACTTTTTCTAAGACATTTGTATTGTCTGAAGTTTCTCTGTTGATGGGGGTGCTGTGTTTCCTCAGGCAGGGCAAGCATATGTGAAGTGAAGGTGGGTAAATTGATTGATTTAAATATCATAAGCTGACATTCAATTTTTAATTAGAATTTTCTATTAATGAGTATAGTTTTGACATCATTGACAATTTTAATCTTTTATCGAAAAGCACACCAAGATATTAATTGGGTCAGTATTTCATTGAATTGGGCTTCAATTAATTTTTAAGTTAGGGAAAGCTTTAGTGTATGAATATTTTGGCTGGCATTTTTCTGAGTTAATTTTTATTATCCTCTGATCTGTCCACTATAGTAGTTCTTCCAGAATATTTTGTATCCGATCTTGGGCTATGAGAATGTCTTCATGATCAGTAAAGAAGGCTGTGTCATCAGCAAAGAGAGCTAATTTAGTATCTTGCATGGGTGAGATATCTGAAGTGTAAACATTAAATAGTGTTGGAGGTATGCTGGCCGATGTGTTTTGAGGGGTTGATAATGTTTCATTGACTTTCAACCGTGAAATTCTTGTTTGAAAGAAAGTTATGGATTACTTTTTGGATGTAATCAGGGACTCCCAAACTATGTATTTTATATGTTAGTCGTACGTGCCAGATCCTGTCATACGCCTCTGCAGTGTCGAAGAAAACTGCTTTCTTTTGTTTGAAAGCTCACAGCATTACTTTCAGTTAGTCTTGGTAATTGGTGCGTGGATGAAATCTCTTTCCCAATCCTTTCTCATTATGTTGCCCCGCACAGGCAACTAAATGTGAATTATCTGTGCAATGTCTCTGTATGAGAAACTGGGTCCCTACACGCTGAACAATGGTTCATGCATGGAGATGGTGCCGAAGGTATTCATTGGCAAAAATGTAAAGGCACAGTATTGTTATACTGTGTAAAGGTTCAGAGTGAAGATAGCCCAATGCGATGTTTGGGAAACGCAAAGGTGCTCTTCTCTCTTTCAATGTGCCCGGAGGCAGTAGCCAGGGCCTGCGCTACCTATAGGTAAACTCGGCCATTGCCGAGTGCACAATTTTGGTACATTTTTATAATTTTTTTTCTTATTAGTATTGATTATATTATTAATAAATGCAATTATTTATTTTGTAAGAAGAAAGCTTAAATATGCTGTATTTATTATTATTACATAAGAATTGAATTCATTTTATTGAATTTAGTTATCATTACTTTATGTTGATATTCTGAACTATTATAATTAGTATACGAGTATTCATTATTTTTCTAAATCAAGTATTTAATACCCAATTACATTATTTCTACAAAATATTCTGATACAATGTATCAGAATGTATCTTCATGATAAACGAGTTTTAGAAATAGAGAACATGAGCCTGGATAGAAGAACAATCTAAATTTTTACTCTTGCAGCAGCATTATGATGTAGACGAATGCAAGCTAGTCTAGGAAGTCGTTAGCCCAGCGATTAAATGTATTGAAAATGCTGAAACATCAATACATGGTCTAATTGAATTAGTTGCACTATTCGTGAAACAAAAACTAAAGCGTACGAAATTAAGTATGTGTATGTGTAGAATAAATCATATTTTACTTAAATATTTTTTAACTTTTATTTAAAATATTTCTGAACATTATTATACATTATAGAATTCACAACGATGATGTAGAATTATTTTTTAGAGGAATTTTATCAAAATTATTGAATTTTCAAACCATTATAAGTCAGTTTCATTAAAAAATATTTTTTTAAATAATCGAATCTGCTCGTAAAATTGGGTCATTAATAATGTCATGAATATTTTTGTCAATAATGCTGTTGGAGGAGAGACAAAAAATAAAGAAGGTTTTCAGTTTTGGAAATTCCTGAAGTCTTGATGAAAATCAAGACCTAGACAAGTTTTCTAAGTGCACATTGCTCCATTCATGTATATAAAAAAAAAATTAGTTACATGAAATATAGACTGACCATAAATTAAGTGGTCTATTTTAAATTAGCAACTTTCTTTTGCCCAACCATTTTTTTTTCTTTCCTGGTAAACAGATCCAAAATGGCAAACATTTGTAGCAGTGAATGCATTGTTTGGCAGAAAATAGTCCTGAATACATTAATTGTGACTCACAAAGGCTTCTAAAATGACAATTTGGTTCTCAAGCTCTACCACACCAGAAAACAGCAGCCAATAAATTTGAATTAAAACATTAGGTAGGCACATTTTTATTAATTTTTCATATGTATTCTAGTGTTATTTTGTTAATGCAAACAATGCAAAACCAATGAAGTGAATGTCTCAGATGAAGCAAAAGGTAAGAACATTGCCAATCTAAACCCAGAAAATCTGAAATTTTGGATAATCCGAACAAAATTTGCAGTGGAGGAAAACTAAACAAAATTAATAAAATGCTTTTTTGTAATGTAAAGAACAGATTTTATAATTACTGAACTGAACAGTAATTATTGAAACAAGTCGAATTAATAATCGAAACAAGTTTCCAAATCGGAACAGACGACACTCCCAATTAGTTCTAAATACTGGGGTTCAACTGTACATTGTAGGAACAGTAGTAGAAGTATAACATTAAGCACACTAGATGTATTGACAATTTTCATATTGCTAATCCACGACTCAAAACTCCAGAACATTACCGTGTCTACCAGGTAGGCAATGCCACTTAATTGAACTGAAATTCTAATAGAATAATTAATTTTCATAGTAGTCTGCACATGGTGCAATTATGATTTTCCAAATTAACATAGTCATGGAAGGATCTTAGGGAAAATAAAAACAATATATACATAACAGATGCTGTGATTTTATTAACAAATGTATTATGATATCAAATAGATGTGCACAAGGCACTACCTGGTCTCGTAAATAGAAATACCTTATCCACCCTAACAAATATTTCAAAACAAATGTACATCTTAAAAATAATTGTTGTTAAAATATGTATCTTATTACTGTCCACAGCAAAGTGCTTTATGCGCTGTTAACATTTCCAACAAAATCAAACTATTTGCACAGTTTGTCATGCTTTCTCAGTATAAACACTTAAACTAGCACTTCCCACTTCCCAGCACTTCAGACTGTACCTATTTTGTTGGTCTGCACATGGCAAACTGGCACTGAACAGTGGTATGTGAGGGTATGAATACCCTACCATGGCCTGTTACATTCTTACACTAGTGGCAGTTATCTCCTTTGGTCCTATATCATCATTTCTTCAACTCCAAACATCAGCTGAGTAGCGTTTCTGAGCTTCCATTTTCTTTACATATGCTAATGCTTCTGCTTCACTCATACTGCCCTTCTCTTGGACAACTTTCAAAACAATGTTATGGACATCTCTGGCCATATTTTTGGCATCACTACAAAAATGAGTTCTCATTAGTATTTGAACATATCTGAACACATAAGAGAGACTACATGAATGAAATTACTACTGAATCAGTTACTTACCCACAAACATACAAATGTCCATTATTCTCTCCAATTACTCTCCATATTTCATCCATATTTTTCTCTAGTAAATGTGTAACATAAACTTTATTGGGTTGATCTCTTGAAAATGCTGTATGCATCTGTATAATAAAAAACATTAAGTGCTACTAAATGAAACAAGATTTGGATTGCGAGCAAAAAAGTCTACTTATGCTTGATATTTGTCTACTGAAAAACTGTCAAAATTATATTTGAATATACTTTTCAATCATCTTACCGTAAGCACTCCCTTCTTAACATACTCTTCAAGTTCCTCCTGATAAATGAAATCTTCTGACTTCTTTCTACATCCAAAATACAGAATACTATCACCAACGGGTTTTCCTAAAAAAAAAAAAAGTAAAAAAATTTTGGAACCTACATTCAAGTCATCTTGAGGGAAAAATTAAAAGAATTACCCTTAAACTAAAAAGACAATTGTGTAAATAAAGTTCTTAAACTAACAGGCAACAAGTATTAAGAAGTGGAAAGAATACAATGATTTCATTATAATAAAATCCATACCTTCTTCCTTGGCAATGTGTCTTTCCTGAATGAAACCACGGAAAGGAGCTAGACCAGTGCCAGGTCCAATCATAATGATGGGCGTTTGATGACGTGTAGGTAACCTAGGAGAATTCAGAAAACAGTCCATAACATACCTAACATGAATAGAATTCACTCTTTACCTTCATTGATTAAACTTGACATAAACTGAATGGATTCATTTTTTTTTCTTGTCTAATAAGGATGTAACAGTGGCAGCCCATCATCGGTAGATGGGGAGATGACAAAGCAAAATAAGAAGTGGTGCTTTCTGGTATTATTTATAACTCGCAATTTTCGATCATTCAGAGATTTCAATGCAAATTGGACTTTATATTGTAAATGACCTTACTCTAATATCTAATTTTGTACAATAACTTTCACTCTGAAGCCAAATCTGCACCTTCAATACTGTATTTGTAGTAAAACGACAAAAAACTTTAAAACTTTCGCAATTTTCGAAAATTTTGAAAATTTAAACAATACAGACCTGCATTTTTATTATAAGCGTACACCGCACACTCTCCAATAATAAAATAACAATTTTGAGCCATTTTTGAGGAAACTTTAAACACTAGTGGTCAGATGTTAAGTATGTCCTCAACGAAACAAATAAAATCCAGTTTTAAATCCCAAAGACCGCGTCATTAGCCACATCGATGGGGGAATATTAATTTCGGTGAAAATCCGACCGACCGACCAACCGGTTTTTTGCTGAAATGCTTGTTTTTACAGTACCCTCACAAAATCAGCTACAGCTCATGCAAAACCAGAATATTTCTTGATCATCATAGTGATTGTTTATTTTAGTTTTACCCCACATCAAACACCTCATGTCCCCGATTCCAGAACAATAAACTGAAGAATTTGAGAGCAATTTCCATTTCAATATAGATTTAAGGTGTTCAGGAGATCAATTAAAATGAATGTGGATAGAACATCGTAGAAATATACAAATAACTTCTCTGCCTGTAGCTTCTGCAAAATAGTCCTGAATACCACACATCTTGTGATGAAAATCCAAAATGCCATACCTTGCCTCTGGGGTATTAAAACACCTTTCCCCATAAGCACAAAATTGTTAAATGGTACAAACAAATAATTCAGTAACATTAAATTAATATCAAATATTAGTGGCTTACAAAAAACATTTTTCTATTCACTGTATCTGCTTTTAATATTTCATAACTGAAACCTTTTGAGATATAAATATTATGATATTAAAAAAGGTTTCTCCCAGAACACACAAAGAGAAATGTTAAGTGTCAATGCAATACATAAAAGAAGGTACCTGAACTGAGATCTACGAATGTATATTGGTGCAAGAGGAAAGTCTGGTTCAGAAGGCTGTTTTTGTTTCAACCAACTAGTTGCTACACCCTTGTTGATACGACCAGTTGGAGTTTCATATTCTACCAACACAGCAGTCACATGAACTGTATTTGCATATACCTGTCAAAAAATAAAAACAAAACAATTTTTAGGGATTCCACATGTAAATAAACTTTGTTAAAATAGACAAATCTACAATTAAATACTAACTTTAGGTGAAGACGAGATAGAATAATAGCGAGCTTGCAAACGAGGAAGCAATTCACAGAGATGGTCTAATGCAGGCTTGCAAGATGGCAAATCCTCCAAAATGTGTACAATATTGCGATTGTCCTGAATAATCCATTGATTATACAGTTGTTTTCCTTCTGGGCTGGTACTTGCCATTGATTTCAGCTTCTCTTGTTCCTAAAAGACAACAAAAAATATTTGAATAATTAAAAATTTGCTGGTATACTTTATATCCCAAATGTTCGAGCGGCTATGGATAACTGTGTTTTAAGATCTCCTCCTACTTTAATGCTGATTAATTAATGTGAATGCGCTAAAACATTACGATTTTTTTTATAAAATTCAATCTGGGAATATTTGAAACAGTATAGGACAAAATGATGCTCGTATATTCATTAGAGCTGCTAATTATTAATTTAAAAATTAAAATACTACAACACGGATGGTTTTTAAAAGTATTCGGCGACACGTCGTATCAGTTTTAACACAATTTTTTACTTGTTACCTATAACTTCAACGAGATAGAAGAGACAGATTTCGATTCAGTAAGATTCTGAATGTTTTCGAAACCGCCAAAACGTTGCACTGAAAAATAAAAGGTATAGTGTGTAATTTATGAAACATATTTAAGTGTTCTACCAACTACGTCCTACTCCTAATCTTCTAAATGGTTGACGGTCAAAATGCAGTTTAGTGTCCCACAATTCTAAATCGTAGGAGCAAGTCATATGCCGTTAAAATATTGATCGTAGTACTTTTAGTGCTATTCAATCATCTCTGATTTTTTAATAGAAGTATAAACTTTTACTTTTCGTATACATAAGTTTACAAGGAGTAATATACGGTTAAGAAAGATTTATGAAATGCAACGGAAAAGTCGATGACGAGATTATAACGAATAAGTACGTGTTGGAGTTCCCCGAATCCAAGTCAGTTTTCTTCGTGTTTTTCAAAAGATATATTTTCGGGTTGTTAATACTATAATCGATCATGAAAACGAGGTATCCCAGATTGGTTTCGAAAACACTCGGTACAAAACTGATTTTCTCAATGATTTCTATAGTAGAAAGTAACCAGTTAGGTTGTAAGTTATAAATATTAATCAAGTAAAAGCATTGTAATCCACATCAACATACTTCCTCGTCTCTTTTGTAATTCTCACTCCCTTCTACAACCCTGGCCAGTCGCACAGTTCCATTTTAACACGGTCAACCTCAATACCCGAGGAGGCGTCATGGGCGAGGACCTCAATATTCTCGATATTCTCAATATTTTAAGAATGTTTTAACAAATTTTAACAATTCTTTGGAACTTCACAATAAAGGGGAGCTTATGGCTAACTTTCATCAATATTAATCTATTATTCATTTGTTTAACATCCCTTTTTACAGTAGTTAGCTGAAAGACAGGATAAAGGTAGCCCATACAATATTCGCAGTAATAATTATCGTTTTTACAGAATCTTATTTTTATTACAGTTTATAACCAAAACCTACAGTAAAATCCCTAAAAAAATGAGCCCTTTCCAAATGTCCGAAAACTTTAAAAACATCAAAATTTGGAGGTAAAACCCGTACCATCACAAAACGCGCGACGTACGACTGAAAAGTTGTCTGCAACTTACCTTCGGATCCTTGGCGTATTCGCCGAGTTCTTTGAGAACGTGAGTGCGAGGATTGGATGTAATGTCCAAGTAATGTGTCAGTGCTGTTCTATACGAACAGGGACAAGGGAATGGGTGTTTCTTGCTGGAATCCTCTGTAAACAAAATATTTACAAACGATTATATATTTAATTCTGGTAAGGATGGTCAAAAGAAAATAATTAACTTGGAATCTACATAGATTTTGGAAAGTAAATCAAATGTTATTTCAATAAATAATAAACAAATAGTATTTACTGATCTGAAATGTCAACATTCTCTAATTTGGCACAAATGTGTAGCATTTTGTACATAATTTTTTGTAGGAAGTTCTGAATGGGCTACCTCCCGAGAAAAAAACCCAACATTTTTGAAGTATTCTTACTATGAAAAAAAGGGATCCATCTGACAAAAGAAATTAATAACATTGCCAGTAAAAATTTTGTAAGTTAAGATCATTTTCTATTATTCAATTTCATTTACATGTATTGAATATATCCATTTTTGTAGCAAAAATTTGTGCTTACAGAGGGGGAGATGTAATATACTTATACTATGCAGTTACGAAAATTTGGTTAAATGTACTTTTTGACCAGTTTATTTTCACTAATATTTTCTTACCCAATTCCTAAAAAAAGCTAGTGCACATTTCTGGCTAAACCCAAGAAGATATTATTTCAACGAGTAATAAACATTTTAAAATCTATTGACAAGCTAAGTTAATTATACTTAAATCACTTTTCTGAATATCTTTCATACCATCAGTATTTGTAAGTGTGAAGATAACATCCAAGTCAACTCCAAGAAGTTCACCAATACGATTTACCAACTGCTCATTATTTGTAGGATATACAGCCAAATGATCACCTGAAATTTACCACATGTATTAAAATCTTCAATTCCAGATGTTTGACTATTTTTAAATTTCTGACAAAATACAATACCTGAATCATATCGCATTTTAGAACCTTCAATATCAAATTCAATATGCATACAGGAACGGTCGCCAGCCTTGTGTAGCTCACGATTCACAATGATCTTGGCAAGGAATGGATTTTTAGCATCAAAGGGCCTAAAACAATTCAAAATATAGTTATTTTCAAAATATAATCAAAAATATATTCAAATATTTTAAAAATATATTTATTATTCATAATTATTGTAGATATTAGATTAAAATATCAACAGTCTTGAAAAGAGGGCTACGTTCGCAGGACGAGACAAGAATTGAGATTTTAGCAAACAGTCATTAGCTGGATACCTTTATCTGTATCGCTGGGTCAGGTTGCAATTTTCGTCCGTCCCAGACACGTAAGTGTAAAAAGTAAAATCGCAAGTTCGCCACTTCATAAAAACTACCAAATTAAAAACTGCTTGTCCCTTTCCGCGTAAAGTTTAATTTTTAAATACTTTATTTGGCGAACATAATACTTGTTCCACCGGCATACCTGAAATGGATACTATAAATGGAGCTAAAAATGAAGCCCTAAAGAAGGTCACGGAACAAGGGCTGACACAACTTTCTTTTGTTGTTTTTGTTATTGTTGAAATAATAATTATGCATAAAGCAATTGATCATGGAAGAACGCTAACAGCGGTGGCTCCGGAGCGGCCTACCGCATCCAATACAAAAATTTGTAATGCGCCATTTAAAGTGCGCCCCTTGTTTTGCTTCGAACATAAATGAGCGTCTAACTATCTACCATGTTTTCTAGAGTTCAATGGGAAATACAATTATCCAAATAATCTTTCTCCATGTTCTCACGGAAGCGAATTATATCTTATCAATTTTTGAAAGAAAAAAAAACGCTCGTTGCTAGCTGTATTCGTAATTCGTAAGAAAAAGAAAAAAAAAGGAGAAGAAAGAAAAGAAAAAGGAGAAAAAAGAAGAAAAGAAAAGGAGATAGAAAAGAAAAGGAGAAAAAGGAGATAGAAAAGAAAATAGAAAAAAGAAAGGAATGCTAGAAACGCTGTGGCGATAGGTGCAGCGGGGGCGGGGGCGGAGGAGGGACACTCACGCGCGTTGGTTCTTGAGCGAGTGCAGGCGCGCCACTTCCCCGCTGTACACGCGGTCGGGCGCCACCTCCGGGTTCTCGGTGAGGCGGTACTGGCGCACGCTCACATCCTCTCCGGTCGCCTCGATGCCGAAGTGCTCGCACACGGCCGGCCAGAACTTGTCCTTCCACGTGATGAAGTCGTCTTCAATGCTGCGCAACAAAGCCACACACGTATTCGTCAGGAAAACAACATTATTTATGTCATTCTAACTGCAGCGAAAATGATCGCATTTGCACAGCAACCAAAACCATTCGCTGCAAGAAGTACTAAAAATGGGTGTGATTAGAAATGCACGTAGCAAACATAGTAATTAAAAATATTTCATCTTTAAAAAGTGCGAACAAGATTTTTTATTCTCTCCGCTTTCCGTTGCCATTTTTATTTATCATGTATATTACACTTCAGTTCTGATAAATTATTACTTCTTGAGACTTTCATTTTACCCATCCCCAAGTATCATGCAGCGCAATAGTTTTCTTCCCATGTCATAAAAAAAATTGACAGACAATTCAAGGTCGCAAAAGTAATAATGCGAACTTTTTAATTTAGATAAAAAAATGTTCATCGCTGTCTTTAATACCCTCTATCATTCTGGAACACTACAAATGAATTAATAATGAATGGTCTTTCATCACTAAGAGCAATACGTCAATAATGTTATATGAACAGGCGTTTCAAGGTGGGTAGAATTAGACAACATTAGTTCAAGAAGCTAAAGCGATATTATGCAAGACTCGCCTAACACCGGAATGAAGAACAATGATTAAATAACTTCAGAAATTATAAACAAATCAATCATAGAGTATGTGATTATCTCTCAGCATAATTTTGTACTGAATGACCTAGTCAAATATTGATGTTCCGCGACAAAATCGCAGGTTTCCGCATTCAGTGGGGATTACTGAAAGAGGCGGGACAGGAGATAATGATGCCTCCCTCCAAAGGCTGGAAAAAAAATGTTGCAAGAAATGCAAAATATTGATACGAGTTAGTTTTCACAGATAGCTTCAGATGTAGTTCGCAAATTAAGTAATCATGTTGAACGATTGCATCTTGCCTATTGTAGACCAAATAATCATCATGCCTTGAATATTCTATAACAATACCACAGCATCTCCGTCTCCAGTCGTCAAATTCCAATTCCAAGATACTATTGTTTATCCACACAAGTTCTCATAAACATAATGCAAAATCATTTAACGCAGAAAGTATTCAGGGAATTTTTTGAGTCTCAATGAACTAAATAGACCTAACGTGATTTTTCCCTGTTCTTGTTATGTTTCATTCTTGTAAAAAGTATTTAAAAGATTACTGTGAATCTCAAGGTCAAGAACCCTTGCTTTCACCCAAAGGTTAATGTCTAGCATTCACCAATAGGCAAGAACCAAATCAAACCGGGTCCGATAAGAGCTAAAAGTGTCGCTCAAGGCGAAGCGATCGGACAGGCGACAAGGCGACAGATATGTGGGCGGCCGACGTATGCAATGTCCGAGTTGCGGAGCGTTCGATTAGCCGAAAGCAGGCCACGCAGGAAGCGCTGCGCTGGGCAAGGCCGCCTGCATTGCGCAACAGGAGTTCACGGACGCACCCCCACTCCATCTAGCCTCACACGCATCTCGGGTGGCAGCCAGGGCTCCTTGGTGCTCTCTATTGGACCGGATGCAGGCAAAATGGATATAAAGACATTGTACTTGCCGTGATCGACAACCCAATGCCTGCTCCATCGCTGCATTTGGGATGTCTCCGAGAGAGAACTAGTGTGAGGGCAGGTCTCTCGCCACGATGTAGCGAACGGAGGTTTTATAGAGCGAAGAAGTTCGAAAATTAGCTCAAAGGCTTCATTTACTTGTCCATTCGCGGCATGGAACAACCGGTTTTACTTCCCCTCTGAAAGATATTTTGCGCTCTTAAAAATAATGATGATTCGAAAATAAAATAAATTGAAACGGGCAGGCGGCCGTAGTGCGTTCTCGAATGTCCTTAGCCAGGTACTATCGCTCAAATAAGTTCCAACGACGGCCGGTGTGGAGATGGTGTTGCAGCCGTGGCGATAAGGTTTGATGCCTTCGCTGAGCAAAGTGAAGATTAAAATCTCTGCAATGACTTGCGCCCTAAAGAACTCTGTCTGAATTACGTAATATTGAATGATAGAAGGAATGCTCTGCCAGCACGTCGCAGGACCTCGTTCTGATCGCCTGGGGCAGCCACTCCCCCGCCAGCCTCCACCGAGCACATGCGACCGTGACTTTCCCAACGAGGAGAGGGCAAGAAATATTTTACAAACATTGCTTTAACGTATAAACGCAAAACTTGCGCATGGGGGACGGGAATGCAAGTTTGGGGGCGGCGGCATGGCCACTCTGAAAATTCGGAAGGGGGCCATAATAGTCCTACGTAATAAAGTATTTTCATCGTTAATTTGATCAATTCCTGATTCCCCCCTTTTTTTATACTGACAATATAAGGAATTGACATTTGCATTGGGGGAGACTCTCCAAACTATCTGAAAACACTGTAAATGGTTCAACAAAAAAATAATCGTTTTAATTGTATCATTAAATTGTCATTCTCCTTGTAATATATTTGAATTATTTGCTAGTAAAATAAGTAATTTGTAGATAAAATTTAATAGAAAGAGGTCCGATGGAGGAAAGAGGGGCTCAGAAATGTAGGATTCTCTTCTTTTAAGCTGCGCCTGCCTGTATAAACGCTTTAAAAAGAAACTAAAGGTTAGCTTCATATAACGTAAAGAAATCAGCTGATACCTGCGTTCATCTTTAAAAACATTTAGAAAACTAATCGTTCGGTAAGATTTAATTTAATTTTTCATGGTAAATAATCAGTATATACTATATGGCTTAAGGTGGGGATGGGACATTATAATCTGGGTAGGTTTTCTCTTTACTATTCTTAAGTGAATTATGAATATTTATTTCTTGTCAAAGAAACAATAAAATCTGCATGTGTGATGTATGGGGAAGAAGTATGATCAACTTAATCAAATGTACCAATTAGCCCAATAAAAGGTGCCAACCAGGTTGGCAAGATTTGAAAATAGAAATGTTTGATAATATCAAATATTTGGTAATCAATACTGGCTAATTGTTAGAATCTTATTCTTTCAACTTCTGCAGTTAGGAATTATTTTCATAGGTCAATGAAACGTCTAGCATTTTCAATTTGTTTCAGTAATCCCAGTGGTTTCCGATTTCGTAACAGGTACAAGGAAAACGCTTACTTCCTTGCTTTCCTTTCGCATGCTCTGACACTGCCAACGAAATTGCGTGCATTACCTTCCATGAACGAAAACAACTCGCCCCCTTTTGTACGTCACGATGAGTCATTGCTATCCAGTTTCACTTACTCTCAATGTTCTTGCTAGATTTCATGTGTCCTATCGTTGCATCAGAATGTTAAGCAAACTGTGTATGATTTTCCCCTCTTTCATACTCCAAGTTTTGATCGATTCATGAACACACGAAAGATTTCCATTTTTAATAAACGTCCATTTTTATTACTTTCTTATATACTACTTGCACCTAAACGTGCTGTCTATAGACTGAAAAACTCTTTTTGTGGGTCCCCGATACTGAAAAGTGTATTTTTTAGACTATTTACGCGAAGAAATTACTTGAAAATAGGCTTTACCGATAAAAAATTGATATAAGTCGCTAATAAGACAGCCGGTACATACAAAATACTGTCTTTGACCACCCAATAAACAGCTCCGCTAAAATTAAAAATCTCCTGCAAAATGATAATATTTCTGAGATATCACTTTTCATTGTGCATCGACTCTGTTGGGTGCTAATTAAGTAACATTAGGAGCACTGCCAATTCTACTTGTAATAAACACAGCAGGCTCAACGTTTGAGCGCCGCTGCTCTAAAAAACAAATTCCTGTCGCCCAGAGCTTCTCCAATGAGCGAGTGACCCAGTTCTTGGTCGGCGCGGCGATCCGAGTTTATTTCCTCGCCTTCGCCCGTGAAAATAAGCGCTTGCGAAGGCTAGATGCTCCCTTTCCAGTGTGAGTCCGTCCGTTGCTATGGATGCCCAGATTGTTTCATTCCCAGAGAATGCAACATATTGTAGAACATAGGATAAAACCAGTAAGTGTACAACCTAAAGGTATTTTTATTAACGGACTGATGATGAACATGTATGAAAAGCAAAATATAATCGACCGATTTACTTTTGATTTCATTACATATAAACAAGCGTAGAACAGCCAAGTAGGTTTTCGAAGTCTCAGTGCTCAGTGTCAACACCATTGGAGGGACAAGAAACCACTGTGCACATAAATTAATGAATGTCTTTAAGGTTAGATTCGGATGGTATTCTTGTAATCTATTTTAGGGAATGCCTAATATTTACAATTTTTTTCGAAATAAATTATATTTACTGGTATCAATGGACTCTTAATACTTGGGATCCATGAAACGACGTATTGAAAGAGATGTCGATATTACGTAATTCCCAATATATCGTTGGTATCCCGACCAGTGGCGAAACGAACAAGTGATTCGCCGTGCGCACGAATAGTTTTTGAAGCTACGTAGATTCTAATTGACTGGAATATTAGACCACGTGACTTACTTTAACATTTACGTCATTTAGAGCAATGACAAATTGATCATGATCTTATGTCAATCGAGCAACTTTAACAATATAGAAACAACTCATAATTTCTAGTCTAAATATGTAAAATGTTCGCAAAATATCATATCACTTCTGTCTGGAGTAGCAAATCCAATATGCTCAAAATCCAGATTTTCCAAAACGCATTCATCCGTACAAAATCACCCTGTTCTTTCCAAAATTCCCAATAAACGTAATAAAGTCAGCATTACTTCGATATCCGTTGATCTTCCATCTTGTCTTCTCGTTTCTATTCGAAAAACCTAGCACAGATTCCTTTCATAGTATATCAAAATCCAGGAAACAAATCCGCACTAAACACAACTAAAACAACAGTATCCGCCAATATAAGCCTTCATCCAATGTGACTTAATTCAATAACTCTTAGTCTTGTTTACACTCCAATACCAAAGATAATACTGTTTATATACTGCCAACAAATCATATGCAGCTGCTAAGGGTCTGCTGACAGAGCAAAAATAAATTTTAAAAATCTCATCTCAGCAGTCAC